TCGCCTGGTGTACAGGAGGTCGTGGGATTGATCCCGACCCTGACGCCTGCTGCTGTGTATTGGGAGTTTGCGTGTCTCGCTCTCATCATCATCATCACGGTGGCTAGGAGATGTTGACTACCTCGCCTGGTGTACAGGAGGTCGTGGGTTCGATCCCGACCCTGACGCCCGCTGCTGTATATTTGGAGTTTGCGTGTCTCTCTCTCATCATCATCACGGTGGCTAGGAGATGTTAACTACCTCGCCTGGTGTACAGGAGGTCGTGGGTTCGATCCCGACCCTGACGCCCGCTGCTGTATATTTGGAGTTTGCGTGTCTCTCTCTCATCATCATCATCACGGTGGCTAGGGGATGTTAACTCCTCGCCTGGTATACAGGAGGTCGTGGGTTCGATCCCGACCCTGACGCCTGCTGCTGTATATTTGGAGTTTGCGTCTCTCTCTCTCTCTCTCTCATCATCATCACGGTAGCTAGGAGATGTTAACTACCTCGCCTGGTGTACAGGAGGTCGTGGGTTCGATCCCGACCCTGACGCCTGCTGCTGTATATTTGGAGTTTGCGTGTCTCTCTCTCTCATCATCATCACGGTGGCTAGGAGATGTTAACTACCTCGCCTGGTATACAGGAGGTCGTGGGTTCGATCCCGACCCTGACGCCTGCTGCTGTATATTTGGAGTTTGCGTGTCTCTCTCCCCGTGGTCACGTGGTCCTCCAGTTTTTCCCTCCCACGTTTAGAATCGAGGTGCGTCTTGAGCATTAGTCTACTGCCATACATGTCCACGTGATAAGCCACTTCGCTGAGCGATCATTTGTGACAGCCTGGTCTCTTCTGAAAAAAGCTATAAATCCAAGTGGGCACTTACCTGGGAATTTTTTTTGTAAATAGTTTAGTTGAGTATCTGGCAGGTTACCAGCATTGGTTCAAGCGAGCCTGACTGCTGCAACTGATGATGAAACAATGGATTGTAAATTCGTCCAGAAGTTTGCTTGTCTTGAACGAATGCAGCTGAAAGTATACTCTGCCATAAGTTCGATTGTACATATTCTTGGTTCTTTCGGTAAAGTCACCACGTAGAAGGGAAACAATAAAGTAATAAAAATAGAAAACAATAAAATTCTCACGACGTTTCGACTGCAACACAAGCAATCATCATCAGGTGTGAAAACCACAGCAAGAAAATCTGAAAAAAGTGGCGTTTTTTTTTTACGTTAGCACCACGGAGAGCGATTTGGCAATCATTCACTTTTTTCAAAATTTCTTGCTGTGGTTTTCGCACCTGATGATGATTGCTTGTGTTGCAGTCGAAATGTCGGGATAATTTTATTGGTTAATATTTTTATTATTTTATTGTTTCCATTCTACGTTACTTTACCGAAAGAACCAAGAATATGAATCCCTGCAGTCACAAAAGCTTTAAAACAAAATTTAGATTGTACATGTTGTGGATTTGCTCTCCAACACACCGGTGTGCTGTACTAGTAACGAATTGGACACGTTCTGTTTACGTGACAAACCTTACTAATTGGCCGTGTCGGGTGGTGGCGGATTTAACGACACATTTATATATTTATTGCGCGATCTAACCCAAAAAAACCCGAAGTATGGATGATATTGGTCCCGAAAGCCTACGTGTTAAACTCTACCATAAGGCCTTGTGGCTGATGGGTTGTTTAACAAATGTTGGGGTTTCACGTGGAGATCCGGACATGTAAAGGATATATTGGGTGCCGGTTTATTTTGCGTACACATTTACATATTATATATACAGGGTGACCCAACAGTCAGGAAACACAGGGTTATTTCACGTGTTTTAACACGGGCATTAAAACGTTACATTGTTTAGTCTTTAAGTTAATATTGTATCTATTATTATTAATGATAACTTAAAAAAAAAGATTCCTTTCAGATGACATTTACAGAACTCGACCCAGAACTCTGAATGAATTGAGACAACACATAATTGACCCATGTTCAAAGATTACACTTGTGATCATTTCAAAGTCCGAAATTTCGATTCAAAGGAGAATTAATGCATCATCCGTCGATCCTAATGGGAGTCAGTTTACAATTTACGAAATGCCTGTAAAATAAATTAAATAACCCTCTGCGATTTGTTTAAAAACAAACTCTGCACAATCAAACTTGATTTGGAGCTTTCGTGACTGCAGGAATTGCTCTCTGGTTCTTTCGGTAAAGTCACGTGTATGAAGAGAAAATAACAAATTAAATAATAGCATTCGACGTTTCGATTGCAACGCAAGCAACCATCATCAGGTACGGCACAATCGCCCTACGTCTCCGTTCGATCACCAAGTTGCGGAACCGTCACAACGACGCTTGTGCCAGGCCACGTGCAGCTCCACGTCCTCTCGAACCGCATCAGCTCCGTCTCTTCTCCAGCCCGTCGCAGGCCCCCCCAACCCACTCTACCCGGTCACGGAGAAGCTGCGTGGGCATGCGGTGGCCGGGCACGCGGGGCTACACGACCCAGCCAACTCCAGCCTCGCCGGGCCGGAGGAGCTCACCGATGGGAATGTGCCACAGAGCCACGCGCATACAAAGATCCCCCGTGTAGCCTTCACAGACTGTTGGGGCAAGGCGCTGTTAGCGAGCAGGGGCACCTATGAAGGCCGGCACTGTGGCACAACAGGGGCGGGTGGGTGGCCAGCAACCACGCCCGGTCGCCTTTGTCTCCCCCAGTGGCGATGGTTACACACCAAAGGCAAAGATCCCCCCGTGTAGCCTTAACAGACTGTTGGGGCAAGGTGCTGTTAGCGAGCACCTATGAAAGCCGGCACGGACACACGAGGGAAGCGGGTGGCCAGCAACCACGCCCGGTCGCCTTTGTCTCCCCCAGTGGCGATGTTTACACCACACGGCACCAGGTACTCATTTGAGGCCGAGTCGACCTAGAGGATGCCCAGGACCGGTTCAAATGATCGTCACTGGGTGTCGGCCGTGAGCGAGCGTAGCACAGCGCACTGACCGCTACACACACAGCCCCCACCCCCCCCAACCACTCCACCCACCCGGTCACCCCTCCCCTCGGCAGACGCACCTGGGACCGTCCCCATAACGCGGTGGGGGAGCCCCCCCCCCCCCCCACCCTGCGCGGGTTCAATAAGAGGCGCGTGGGTGAGACGGGAGCCGTACAGAAAGCCAACACAGGAGCAGGCATGGCCGGGGCTCTGCCATTCGCCGTTCTCTTCCTCGCCACCGCAGCCGGCGCCTCCGCTGCCTCGGTGCGTGACGGAACTCCGCCCGTGTGCTCCACCTGTGCACTCACCTGTGTGCACGCGCACTTACCTGTGCACTCACCTGTGCACTCACCTGTGCACTCACCTGTGTGTACTCACCTGTGTGCACGCGCACTCACCTGTGTAATCACCTGTGCACTCACCTCTGTGCACGCGCACTCACCTGTGCACTCACCTGTGCACTCACATGTGTGCACGCGCACTCACCTGTGCACTCACCTGTGCACTCACCTGTGTGCACGCGCACCCACCTGTGCACTCACCTGTGCACTCACCTCTGTGCACGCGCACTCACCTGTGTACTCACCTGTGTGCACGCGCACTCACCTGTGTACTCACCTGTATACTCACCTGTGCACTCACCTGTGTGCACGTGCACTCACCTGTGTACTCACCTGTGTGCACGCGCACTCACCTGTGAACTCACCTGTGTACTCACCTGTGAACTCACCTGTGTACTCACCTGTGTGCACGTGCACTCACCTGTGTACTCACCTGTGTGCACGTGCACTCACCTGTATACTCATCTGTGTACTCACCTGTGTGCACGTGCACTCACCTGTGTACTCACCTGTGCACTCACCTGTGCACTCACCAGTGTAATCACCTGTGTGCACGCGCACTCACCTGTGCACTCACCTGTGTGCACGCGCACTCACCTGTGTGCACGTGTACTCACCTGTGCACTCACCTGTGTGCACGCGGACTCACCTGTGTACTTAACTGTGCACTCACCTGTGTGCACGCGCACTCACCTGTGTACTCACCTGTGTATTCACCTGTGTGCACGTGCACTCACCTGTGTACTCACCTGTGTCCTCACCTGTGTGCACGTGTACTCACCTGTGTGCACGTGCACTCACCTGTGTACTCACCTGTGTACTCACCTGTGTGCACGCGCACTCACCTGTGTACTCACCTGTGTACTCACCTGTGTGCACGTGCACTCACCTGTGTGCACGCGCACTCACCTGTGTACTCACCTGTGAACTCACCTATGTACTCACCTGTGTACTCACCTGTGTGCACGTGCACTCACCTGTGTACTCACCTGTGTGCACGCGCACTCACCTGTGTACTCACCTGTGTGCACGCGCACTCACATGTGTACTCACCTGTGTACTCACCTGTGTGCACGCACACTCACCTGTGTACTTACCTGTGTGCACGTGCACTCACCTGTGTGCACTGCACTCACCTGTATACTCACCTGCGCTCACGTGCACTCACCTCGGTGAACGTGCACTCACCTGTGTACTCACCTGTGTGCACGTGCACTCATCTGTGTGCACGCCTGTGTACACGTGCACACACGTGTACTCACCTGTATATTCACACATGCACTCACTTATGTACACGTGCATTCACCTGTGTACTCATCTGTGTGCATACACGTACACTCGTCTGTGCACTCACAAATATACACGTGCACACACCTGTATACTCACGTGTGTATGTGTGCACTCACCTGTCCACACGTGTACACACCTGCGCATCCGCATATGTACACGTTCGCTCACCTGTATACATGTACACTCACCTGCGCACCCACATATGTGCACGTTCAATCACCTGTTCTACACGTGCACTTACCTGTTCACTCACATATGCACACGTTCGCTCACCTTTCTACACGTGTGCTCACCTGTATACGCGTGCCCTCCACCCACGCGCAGAGGGCACGCGTACACAGGTGAGTGCCGCGTGTACAATCACCATCGCGACACAGCTGGCTCCCGACAAGTATGTTCAAGGCTTCACGGTGTGACGTTGGGGGGTGGGGGTTGGGGTTGCCCGCTTTGCCTCTGTCGCAGCTGGGTGTGGTCACGACCGAGTGGGGCAACGTGGAGGGTCGTCGCGTCTCCACGGGCCTTCTCTCCTCCGTCGACGTCTTCAAGGGAATCCCTTTCGCTGCTCCGCCGCGCCCCTTCAGCAAACCCGAGCCTCACCCGGGATGGGGCGGTAACACTTCGCCCGCGCACACACACACACAAAGATAAAGATTCCCCCGTATAGCCTTAGCAGACTGTAGGAGCAAGCTCTGTTAGCGAGCACCTATAAAGGCCAACACCACGCCCGGCCGCCTTTGTCTCCCTAGTGGCGATGTTTACACATCGCACCAGGTACTCATTTGAGGCTGAGTCGACCTAAGGGAGGCCCAGGATCGGTTCAGATAATCGTCACTGATGTTGGCCGTGAGCGGGAATCGAATCCGGATCGCCGGGTTCGTAGCGCAGCGCGCTAACCGCTACACTACCGCTCCCCACACATACACACAACAACAACAACCACCATTCGCCACTAAGTGGCGGTGACGTCACCACGACGCTTGTGCCAGGCTATGTACACCTTGAGGCCACGTGAAGTGTCGAACGCCCGCTGGCAGGAGGTCACGGGGCAGACCCAGGTGCCACGGGTCGACTGACTGAGATGAGTGACTGATGCACCACCTACTGTGCCAACCTGCTGTGCTTTAGCCACCCGCGCTCCGCTCGTTGTTGTGAGCGTCGCTCCTCCGCCCTCCGTTGTTGTTGAAGGGCGACTGCCTCCAACTGCCCAGTAGCATCTTTCACGAGCCTCCTCCACAGAGGCCGATCTTGACACCGCTGGTACCAGTCATCGGCAAGTCCACTCAGCTCCACGTCCTCCCGTACCGCATCAGCTCCATCTTTTCTCCATCCCGTGCCGCGCCCGTTTAGCCCCCCTCTATCCGGCCAAACAGAAGCCGCTCGGGCATGCGGTGACTGGGAATGCGGGCTCCACCGTAGACTCGCTTGCCGGAGGAGCTCACCAATGATGGGACCCTACCCAGATATTTCCTCGCCACTATAATTGAGTTTGGTAACATCCGGGATGGAGCGTAGGCAGGCCCCCCCCCCCCCCCGAATGTTTCATCCTAACCTCTTCACCCGTCACCTCTTACATCCCTCACCTCTCAACGACGCAGCTGATCCCCGGACAGAGCGCTCATGCTTTGACCTCACGACCCCTAACACCGTGACCTCTTGAATCATCACTCGCTGACCTCCTACCCTGCGCGTGTGGTGTGTCCATGTGTGTATGTGTGTCAGCGTGTGTGTCCATGTCTTTTTTTGTGTCCATGTCCGTGTGTTTGTGTCTGTGTCTGTGTGTGGTGCTGGTTGGGAGCGGAGCCAGGTTCGTAGGGGGAGCGGTGGTGCAGTGGTTAGCGCGCTGCACTATGAACCTGGCGACCCGGGTTCGATTCCCGCTCACGGCCAACACCAGTGACTATTATCTAAACCGGTCCCGGGCCTCCCCTAGGTCGACTCAGCCTCAAATGAGTACCTGTTGCGGTGTGTAAACATCGCCACTGGGGAGACAAAGGCGGCCGGGCGTGGTTGCTGGCCACCCCAGCAACCACGCATGCCGTGCCGGGCCTTCATAGGTGCTCGCTAACGGCACTTGCCCCAACAATCTGTTAAGGCTACACGGGGGGGTCTATGTCTTTGTGTTTGTGTCAATGTCTGTGTGTGTGTGGGACCCGTGGGCGGCGGTAGTGTAGTGGTTAGCGCGCTGCTCTACGAACCTGACGACCAGACTTCAATTTCCATTCACGGCCAACACCAGTGGCACTTATTTGAACCGGTCAACTCGGCCTCAAATGAGTACCGGAGGCGATGTGTGAAGTAATCTTCCCCCTGGAGAGCCCCAACAGTCTGTTAAGGCTATAGGGGGGATCTTTGTCTTTTTTGCCCCGTTTGGAGCGGTAGTGTAGCGGGTTAGCGCGCTGTGCTCAAAACCCGGCGACCCGAGTTCGATACCGGCAAACTCCGGTGACTTTTATCTTGAGCCGGTCCTTGCGCCTCCCCTGGGTCCACTCAGCCTCAAATGAGAATCTGATTGCCACGTGTAAAAATATCGCCACGGGGGTGGTGGCCGGGCGAGGTTGCTGGCCACCGCCACCCCCTCGTGTGCCGTGCCCGGCCTTCGTAGACGCTGCTTGTCGCTAACAGCACTCGCCCCCCCCCCCCCAACAGTCTAAAGGACTACAACAGGGGGGCGATCTTTGTCTCTAATTGCGTGAACGTGCATGCGGGGGGCGCGCCACAGGTACCCTGAAGGCCTACGACTACCGCGAGCGCTGCCTGCAGGCGACCGCGATCGAGACGGGCAGGCACGGGTCTGAGGACTGCCTCTACCTCAACGTCTGGGTGCCGCACGGCGTCAAAGGCAAGGACTGCGTCTGTGGGGATGCGTACACGCATGCGGGAGCGGGAGAGTGCCGCGCACGTGGAAGGCGGAGAGTGGCGCGCACGTGGAAAAGAGGGAAAGTGGCCCGCACGTGCAAGCAAGAAAGTGTGCTGCAATGGTGTGATGCCGTGCGCGTGGGCGGGGGGGGTATGGATTGGTCTCACACCATCATGCACATTTAAGGTGAACGTGCGAGCGTGCTGCGACTGGAATAATGTTGTTATTTATTTAACATTTGTTTTAATTGCAGCAAAAAATAATTCGCGGGCGCGGTCCAATCCGCCGCTGTTCAAAATGCTGAGCGATGGGGGGGGGGGTTAAGAAATCGACAAATTTCCGAACGGCGTGTCAAGTACAATAAATAGAGGAGGTGAGCGCAGAGGCTGTACATGTGGAGTTTGCGTGTCTCTCTCTCTCCCCGTGGTCGCGTGGATTTTTCTCCTGGTCCTCCGGTTTTTCTTCTCTCCGCATTTAGAATCAACGTAACGCGTTCATAGAGTTTTTTGGCTCAAGCTATAAGTTTCCACACGATGACAAGTCACTTTTGTTGAGCGATCATTTGTGGCCAGGTCGCTTCTGCATAAGACCTATATAGCTCAGTGGGCCTTACCTGGTAAAATAAAAAAGTTTTTTTATTAGTTTAGAATTCATAGAGGACTGTGGGGATACGAGGGGACGTCGGAGGAGGGACCGGAGGAGAGAGCTGTGGATGAAGAGAAAGCGATGTGGATAATGGAGGGCGCTGTGGATGTAGGGAACTGTGGATAGCGAGGAGAGAGCTGTGGATGAAGGAGGGAGCTGTAGATGAAGGAGAGAGCTGTGGATGAAGGAGGGAGCTGCGGATGAAGAGAGAGAGAGACTGTGGATGAAGAGAGAGAGCTGTGGATGAAGGAGGGAGCTGTGGATGAACGAGGGAGCTGTAGATGAAGGAGAGAGCTGTGGATGAAGGAGGGAGCTGTGGATGAAGAGAGAGAGAGAGACTGTGGATGAAGAGAGAGAGCTGTGGATGAAGGAGGGAGCTGTGGATGAAGGAGGGAACTGTGGATGAAGGAGGGAGCTGTGGATGAAGAGAGAGAGAGAGAGAGAGCTGTGGATGAAGGAGCGAGAGAGCTGTGGATGAAGAGAGAGAGAGAGAGCTGTGGATAAAGGAGCGAGAGAGCTGTGGATGAAGAGAGAGAGATAGAGAGAGAGAGAGAGCTGTGGATGAAGAGAGAGAGCTGTGGATGAAGAGAGAGCTGTGGATGAAGAGAGGAGGGAGCTGTGGATGAAGGAGGGAGCTGTGGACAGAGAGGAGAGAGCTGTGGATGAAGGAGGGAGCTGTGGACAGAGAGGAGAGAGCTGTGGATGAAGGAGGGCGCTGCGTGTGATGGAGGTGGTGGAATAAACGGACTAGAATGCTTACCTGCCTACGCGTGTTTATGTGGAGAGTGCCCACTACAGGAACACCGACCGGCCCTCTCACACCCCCCCCCCCCATTCCCAACGCTCATCCCCTGCCCCCCCCCCCCTTCCTCTTAGTGTCAAGGAACCTGCCCGTGATGGTGTGGATCTACGGGGGCGCGTTCATCTTCGGCTCGAGCCAAGGCGCCAGCTTCCTCGACAACTTCCTCTACGACGGACAGGAGCTGGCGGACCGCGGCAAGGTCATCGTGGTGACCTTCAACTACCGTCTGGGGCCCTTGGGCTTCCTCAGCACGGGCGACGAGCACGGGCCTGGTGAGGGGTGGGGGTGGGGGACACGTGGGAGTAACACGGTGGGGGAGGGAGGGGGGAGAAACGTGAGGAACACGGGATACTAAACCAAGCTAAAAGCTCAACTTATTTTTTCTCTTTGATTTACGTTGCTTTGATATTCGTCATCGCACCTTTGAGGACCGCATCCCCGATGCAAACCGCGGTTTTGCTGCAGATAGTGTCCCTCGCAAGAGATGTAGCACACCCAAAAACCAAGGTCAATTCAATGCAAGGAAAATGTATGATGTTAAGGGAGGAAACAAGGTTCTTCCAAAACGTTGATGCCGCAATGGCAAAGGCCTGTCACCTACTCAAATTCTTGTTCTTGGGATAGTTAAAAGGCAATGACATGAACTAAACTATTTTTTTATTTTACCAGGTAAAGTCCGCTGAGCTTTGTTCGAAGCAATCTGGCTATCACAAATAATAGCCCAACGACGTGGCTTATCATCATGACGTGGAAATTGATAGCAGACAAATGCTCTAAATGCACGTTGATTCTAAACGTGGAGGGGAATACCGGAGGCCCCGGAGAAAAGTCCACGCAACCTCGTGGAAAGAGAGAGAGAGACACCGCAAACTCCAAATATACAGCAGCAGGTGTCAGGGTCTGGATCGAACCCACGACCTCCTGTATACCAGGCAAGATAGTTAACATCTCCTAGCCACCGTGATGATGATGAGAGAGAGAGACACGCAAACTCCAAATACACAGCAGCAGGTGTCAGGGTCTGGATCGAACCCACGACGTCCTGTATACCAGGCAAGATTGATAACATCTCCTAGCCACCGCAGCGAGGACATGCGGGAGACATGGGGCACTCTGGAGGAGATGGAGGAACACGAGGAGAGCGAGGGGGGTGGGGGACACAGCGATATGGGTGAGACGCAGGGGGGACACGGCGGGACACGGGGGTGTGTGCGTTGCTATCACTCGCCCTGGTATCCCCGAGGCTACATGGCGATGGGGGATCTTTGTCTTTGTGTCACCCAGGTAACTACGGACTCTGGGATCAGCACGCCGCCATCAAGTGGGTGAAGAGGAACATCTTCGCGTTCGGAGGAGACCCCGACAACATCACCCTCTTCGGAGAGTCCGCGGGGGGCGCCAGCGTCTCCCTGCAGGTGCGGGACAAGGGGGGGAGGGGGTGGGCATGGTGATGGTGGAGGTGATGGAGGAGGCATGGTGATGGGAGGGGTGTGATGATGGTGGTGGTGGGTCTGGTGATGGGGGTGGCATGGTGATGATGTCCTCCCACGTGTCATTCATTGACTGAAAACATCTTTAATTTGTTTTTTTTTTCAACCGACGTTGAGGCGGGAGCCTCGTGAGAAATATCGCCACGACTCGGCGTGTGTGTGGAGGCTTCCCCGACCGATGTCACGATTCGTGATGATGATTTAAACAAAACAAAAGAAAAACTCTTCGCCCTTTCTGGCAATAATCCGGCGGGTGTTAAGATGCGTCACAAAGCAAAGAACACCAGAAAGCGGACAGCACAAGGGCCATGCAAACGCCGTAGCATTCGTTAGCTCGGGTTTAAGGCGTTTTACCACCGCTGAGACAAAGAAGCCATAGCGGAGACTGAAGCTCTGGTGCAGGCCAATCAGCTTCAAGGACAATTCGTTATTACACAGGTGGAGTGAGACTTCTATATTGGGGGGGGGGGGGGGGGGGCAGGAGTTTGCTTAATAGAGACTCATAAAGACTAATAGAGTTATACAGATACTAATAGAGACACATACAGACTAATAGAGCCTATTCGAGATACACAGAGACTCATAAAGATACAGAAACACATAGAGACTGTTAGAAACACATTGAGCTACACAGAGATACATACAGACGCATAGAGATACATTGAAACTGGATGGACAGTGGGCGAGGTGTTGGCCCATTCATGTACTGCTGGCTCAAACCACGTAGGTATAAAATAAAATATACCTACGCGACTTTACCGAAAGAACCAAAGAGTATGGATTCCTGCAGTCACGAAAGCTTCAAATCAAGATTGGCTCAAACCACGTAATATATAAATAAGCAAAAAGCCCTCCACGACCCGGCGACAGAGCCAATCAAGTAAAGTCGTTAACGTCGTGGGAAAGCGTGCCCCGGTGATCAATGTGCTTCATCGGCAAAAAGCAGAGATAGGAGGAACGTTGAGAAGCCACGTCGGTTTACCAGACGCTCAACTCCTGCGTGGATCTTGGGCGTCTGTCGACGCCTTACGATGCTCCATGTAATTTCCAGTGCGAACGTCGGACAACGTTGTAAAACATGAAAATGTTGCTGGCTTTTCAACAGGCTGGCCAAAGTAGGCCCCCTAGGTTCACGACGAAGATGATATTGTGGATGATGATGATGATGACGAGGGGGCATGATGATTATGATGATGATCACGAGGGGGGGTGATGATTATGTTGATGACGAGGGGGGATGATGATCATGATGATGATCACGAAGGGGGTGATGATCATGATGATGATCACGAGGAGGGGACGATGACGATGATCACGTGGGGGGGGGGGGGGGGTGACGATGTCGTTACAGATGCTGTCTCCGGTCAACAATGGCTTCATCCGTCGCGCCATCAGTCAGAGTGGGTCGGCCCTCGCTTCCTGGGCCATTCAGAGGGACCCGCTAACCTGGGCCATCAAGGCACGCACGCACACACGCAGCACGCACGCAGAGCGCACACCGCACACAGCACACACCACGCACACACACACACCATGCACACACACCACGCACACAAGCACACGCACCACGCACGCACACACACACCATACACACACACCACGCACACAAGCACACGCACCACGCACGCACACACACACACACCATACACACGCACCACGCGCACACGCACCATGCACCACGTGCGCATAGCACACACCGCACACAGCACACACCACGCACACAGCATCATGCACACAATATGCACGCAGCGCACACACACACATACACACGCGCACACAGACACACACGCACCACGCACATCACACCGGTTGCGATGTGTAAATATCGCCTCTGGAAGAGACAAAGGCGGCCCCGGTCTTGGTCTTGGCCTTGGCCATCGCCCATAGGTGCGCCGGTACTCGGCCTTCAGAGGCGACACAGACTCTCTTCTCCTCCAGCGCCTCGTATTTAGAACGCGAATTGGATATGACACGATCGAGCGGACGGAACTACGTCGCAGCGCGAGTGGGAATCAGTGGCCGTGCGGCTGGAAACGGCGTAGCATCGCACAAGGCATGGCTGTGTGAAAGGCTACACGGAGTGGGGCGGGGGGGGGTGTGTGGAATGTTGTCTCTGTCCAGGTGGCGGAGGTGGTCGGCTGCCCGACGGACGACTCAGCTCGCCTCATGGGCTGCCTGCGCATCAGCAACCCCGTGGACGTGATTAACGCCGTAACAGTCGCCCTGCCCCCCACCATGGGTGAGGAGTGCCTCACGGCGCCCGTGTGGCCTAGCAGCACCCGCGTGGCCTCCCGTGAGGGCCCACGGGAACGCTGTCCTTGCGTGGCCTCCCCAGGAAACATTCGTAGTGGACGACGTTTTTGGGCAATGGCCCTTCGAAGTAGCGTAATTGGTAAGGGCGTCGACGGTCCATCAGGGGCGTCCCTCATTGTACCCCCCTCGCCGAACCCCCTCTCTACACCCCTCGCCACACACCCTCACCGCACCACCACCACCCCTCCACCCCTCCCTCCCGACCATCTCCTGGTACCGCAGGTCCCTTGGTGAACTCTCTCACATGGAGCCCCGTTGTGGACGGCGACTTTCTGCCCGAGGAGCCGTACCTCCTCGTGGGCAACGCGGCGCGGATCGACTACATGGCGGGCGTCAACAACATGGACGGACACATCTTCGCAGGCTTCGACCTGCCGGCCATCAACATGAAGGGCAAGACCACCAGGTGGGCTGACAACAGCAACGGCAGGAACGGACGCAGGCATAGCGTGTGAACCCATACGGTTTACCCCGCATTCTTGTGCAGGGAAAACGAGTTTTCAGGTCCGTACGACGTACTGCCGTTTCAGTACGGATGTAGTGGGTTCGACTGAGACGTACTCTTCAACTCGCAGGCAGCGTATTTTATTCTCAAACACAACAGGACAAATTAATACAACGACCTAGGGTGGTGACCACCCTGGCTAGCTACGTAACAACTGCTAGCTAACGTGGACCGGAGCTAACGGCATACTGCCCGGACCACGTGCTCGAAGACTCGCGGACCATAGAACGTAAATGAACGTAGATGAAGGGTTTCTTCCCCGGGATGGACAGCCAAGAGCCCTCCCGAGATTCGGCTTATATTCTCTCCGGCGTGGCCGGCTCCACTTCTGGCCACGCCTCCCTTCCAGAACCTTCAGGAAGAACCTGGGTTCCATCACGTGACCCTCACAGCCCCGCCCCCCCCCCCCTCCCCTCCCACGGGGGCCCCTCTTTTGCCTTAACTGGTCACGTGTCCACCCGGGTCAACCAGACTGTCATGGCCTTACCCGACCTTCCCTTCGGGTCGGCAAACAGCCTGCCCGCTCGGGCCGGTACTGTCCTTACAGCATGGTGACATCCATTGATGTCATTGCCCGCACGCCATGCCCCTCTAGGGCCGGTACTGCACCCACAGCATGGTGACTTTGAAGTCCCTACACGGGCAAAAAAATATATAAAGATTGCCTGTTTGTGTTTCTCGCCTTGTGATGGGACTTTGTAGGATGATGGTTGCGAATTGTAAGGGCATGGGGGGACCAATAAGGTTTGGAATTGGTCTATAATAAGGTAGGGCACTGATAAAAGGTTGACAGGTATGAACAGGCAACAAGCAACAGCACCCGCCGTTTGCCCCTCCCCCCTCTCCACGTGGTGGTGACGACGTCACAAAGGCGCTGTGATGCGATACCCAAGTGGGCACTTGGAAGTGGGCGTGGCTGTGTCGTGACGTCAAAAGGGGGCGTGTTAGGTGTTTTGGATCGATAATTGCGATCCAGTGCATCGATTCTGCCCCCTAAAAACATCGATGTCTGTGAACGTGAGTGCGAATTTGAGTTTGTATGTGAATGTGTGGAGAGTTTGTCTGTTGTCCCCATGGACTGTAGTGTGAGGTCGTGTGTGAGTGTGTGGGGAGCCGGAGTGCAGCGGTTAGCGCCATGCTGCGCTACGAATTCGGCGACCCGAGTTCGATTCCCGCTCACGGCCACCAACACCAGTGACGATTATGTCAACCAGTGCTGGGCCTCCCCTAGGTCGACTCAGCCTCAAATGAGTACTGGGGAGACGAAAGTGGTTGGGCGTGGTGTGCCTTGCCGGCCTTCAGAGGTGCTGCTTCGCTAACAGCACTTGCCCCAACAATCTGTTTAGGCTACACGTGGGATCTTGGTCTTTGTACGAGAACAGAGTGAAGTTTTTTCTCCCCCTGTCTGGTATGGGTAGTCCCCTGGGTTCTCCGGTTTCCCTGCCCAGGGCTAAAACCCCAGAGGCCCAGTGCCAAAGGGTATTGGGCCGAAACATCCCAATGCTGCAGAATCACCTGGGACATTTCATGACAGGTGCTGAGGTTTCGGGTACACGTAGCACCGTCGCCCCCTACTGCAAAGACTCAGAAAGACCCTCCTGGCAGAATCTTGAGGCTCCCTTGGGTAAAGTAGGGTAACAATAACGATCATCATCATCAACATCTACATCACCATCTACATCAGCTGTGTTGGAGTACTATTACCATTTTCATAACTATTTGTATTTTACCAGGTCCGACCCACTGAGCTATATGGCTCTTTTTCAGAGGCGACCTGGTCGCTTAACGAAGTGGCTTATCATCGTGTGGACATTTATAAGCAGCCAAATACTCTGAACAGGAGGACCCGGACAAAAATTCACGCGGCCACGTGGAGAACATACATACTCCAACAATACGGGTGGTCAGGGTTGAGATCGAACCTACGAACCTCCTGTACACCAGGCGAGGTAGTTAACATCTCGCCACCGATGTGCTTAAGTAGTAAGGGGCCGTCCATGAGAAATGTGACGTCACATAAAAATGCGCAACTTTAAATAAATAGAGACAACACGTTCTACTTAATTGAATATACTTTTTAATAAATGTTTTCTCCTACAACATCAGAGTGCAGCGCCACATTAAATACGCACTACAATGACAATAGTTTAAAGCGATTTGAAGCATGTTTTATCTTTTTTGGGGGTGGGGGGGGGGGGGCAGAGCTTTGTGACGTCACATTTGAGGGGGGGTCTGACTTTTTGTGACGCCGTGTGACGAGGGGGGGGGGGGGGTCAAAAATCGTCAAAAATCGCGTGACATCATTTATGGACGGCCCCTAACTAATTGGCACGTTGGGTTCACGTGACAAACCTCACTGATTGGCCGTGTCGGGTGGTGGCGGGTTTAACGACGCATTTATATTTACGCGATCTAACCCATAACCAAAACTTTTACGGTTCGACTAATCACTGACATCTGATCTAATGACCCACAACAACCCCAACTACTCCCCTCTGCCCTCCATCCTTCTACCCTCCCCCCCCCTTCCTCGTTTCCATCCCCCGTCGCCCCTCCCCCTCCAGGAAGGACATCTACGAATTGGCCATGGGCTTAGTGAAGGGCCACCGTGACGTGGGCATGGAGGTGTCGAACATCTACTCGCGCGACCAGCAGGTGGCCGACTACTCGGAGGAGGCGGCGCGCGCCTTCGTGGAACTCGAGACCGACTTCCTCTTCATCGTGCCCTGCCAGCGCCTCCTGCGGATGCACTCGCAGCACTCCACGTGAGGAACGCGGTGACGTGGGAGAGCCGCCCTCGCCTCGCTCGCCCTGCACTACCCTGCACTCACCCTTGCACTACCTGGTCACCTGCAATACCTGGTCACCTGCACGCCTGGTCACCTTGCATGCGTGGTCACCTGCACGCCTGGTCACCTGCAATACCTGGTCACCTGCACGCCTGGTCACCTTGCATGCGTGGTCACCTGCACGCCTGGTCACCTGCAATACCTGGTCACCTGCACGCCTGGTCACCTGCAATACCTGGTCACCTGCACGCCTGCCTGGTCACTTGCAATACCTGGTCACCTGCACGCCTGGTCACCTTGCATGCATGGTCACCTGCACGCCTAGTCACCTGCAATACCTGGTCACCTGCACGCCTGGCCACCTTGCATGCGTGGTCATCTGGCCACATGCGCACCTGCTCATGTACAAAGACAATAATTATCATTATTGTTATTAATGCTGTAGTATATGGAACCCTTGTATTATTGTCGGAAAGGCTAAAAGGCGATGATTTTTTTTCCATCATCTGATACCGGCAAACAAGGATCCCATAGATACAACTAGCCCGACCCCAGATTTTAGCGCTTTGATATATGCGCAGCCTCTGTGATGTCCACATTTTCACGTTGTTCTCCGGCCTAACACCGGTGCAGAGGCAAGGCCATGAAGGAGGCTGTGTAGCTCTGGTGCAGGCCAAGCGGTTTCAAGGACAGTGCCTCCATGATTGTTATTATCAAGGCGTGTTTGTGTGCCTGTCTCACCACAAGCACGATGTGCGGTCAGTGCAGACTTGGTGGTGCGTTGCGATATTTAGGTTTCTATTGCGTGTTTGAACACCTTAACACCTCCCGTGTTATTTCCGGACAGGGTAAAGCCGTTGATTTCTATCCTCCCCATTATATGGGTTCGATTCCCGCTCGCGGCCACCAACACCGGCGCCGATTATCTGGGCGTCCCCTAGGTCGACTCAGCCTGAAAACGAGCATATCTGGTTCGGTGCGTAAACATCAGCACTGGCGGGGAGACAAAGCAGCGGCTTCTGGCTAAGCCATCGAACAAAGGCGGTGTTCACCGCTGCATCGCGCGGCGCGTTCGGTTGCGCTTCTGCGGCCGTCTGGAACGCTCTTCCCTTCCCATATTAGGAAAGCCACTGGGAGCTGCGCACTTTTACATCATCATCTAGATTGACAAACTCGTTTCTTTAAAACTGATTTTTTTGTGCTTAGTTTGTTGTCCTTCCCCCGCACCTCCGATTAGCACAGTTGGCTACAGGCGGTGCGAATGAAGTTCAACATACATACACATACCTGTCAACCCCTTATCAGTGCCTATCTTATTACAGACCAATTCAGACCTAATGGGTCACCCCGTGCCCCTTATAAATCTGAACGTTCACCCTACAAAGTCCCATCACAAGGAGAGAAACACAAACAAATATACAACAAATGTGTTTTTTTTCCCGTTTTGAAACGTCTGTGCGCCATATGGACCTGAAAACTCAATTTCTGTATACAGGAATACGGGGTAAACCCAGAGGCGGGCGGTAAGGGCCAGCAAGGCCTTCTCTGCTGGCCTAGACATTGTCAGAATCAGAAAATATTTTTTGGTTATAATCTTAAGTATATTTTCATTAATGCTATATGTATTTTACAAAGTTCGTTCCCATCAGTCTATTAACGTCATTTCATTGCTACTCTCTTCCTCAGTTGCGCTGCTTCTAGTGCAGCTCATAAATTATAGCTTTTATCCAATCAGATTTTCCACCTGTGCTGTCTCCGCCTCTACGGGTGAAACATCTACCCTGAGGCCTTTAGAATGTCGAGTGAATCCCCTCTGTTGTTGAAGCAAATGGGGACGATGTTATTGATTGTCATCTTCTTTAACCAATCAGATTTCGAGTTTGCCATGTTGGGCGTATTATTTGACACGCCGGAGCCTTCTAGCTGGCCTAGCCGCCTAAATTAGCATTTTTCATGTGGCGTGATCGGAGGGCCAGTTAGCTGACTGAAGCAAAATTAGCTAGCACATAACGTAGCATCATCTAAGATTCATTTAAACTTTCTTATGTGACGTTAAGATTTTTAGATGTAGTTAGTGCTTTAGATTGTTTCTTTTTCTGTGGGGAAGCCATTTTGCAGCCTGATTGTGTTATTTGTGTTTTACGGCATTTTTGCTTGCTTGGTGGTCGTGTGAGTAAATGTGACTGGTTGTTGTGAGTTTGTTCTTGTTTCTTTGGTAATGACATTGATTTGGGTTATGCGATGTCTATTTGTGACGCATCATGGTTTCAGTCACCATGTATTCATGTCTCTGCAATTAGTGTATTGTAACTCTCGTAGGTGTTTGAGCCTCGTGTTAAATCACTTTATTCCACTCGATGAAGGTTCCTGTCACTGTGAATATGGGGTGGTTACGTCGAATGACAATAGCCTATAGCCTGTAGCCCTCGTGTCATGGTGCGGTTATTCGAAGGCGGTTGAATTGCGGGAGGATAGCACTGATGGCCTCGGTGTAAAATACACCACCCGCCACTGGGTAAACCACATGGGTTCTCAGCGATGTACTTGACCCTGTCCCGTCTTGATGCTTTAACACGGGCGCGCCCCCCCCCTCCCCCCCACCCCCAACTTTGTGCGCAGTGGTGCCCGTACATACTCGTACCAGCTGTCCCACCCGAGCCGCATGCCCTTCATCTACCCCAACTGGGTGGGCGCCGACCACGCGGACGACCTGCAGTACGTGTTCGGGAAGCCCTTCCAGACGCCGCTGGGCTACCGGCCGAAGGATCGCGACGTCTCCGCTGCCTTCATCGCCTACTGGAGCAACTTCGCCAAGACCGGGTAACGGCAGCGGCATGGCATGGGGTGGCAGGGGACGGCACCTCGGATTAGCACGGTTGGATGCGTACGGTGCGAAAGAAGTTCAACGTACATACATAATGCCCATTGACTAACACTGCCCATAGACTCAGCACTGTCCATTGACTAACACTAACCATAGACTCAACATTGCCCGTAGACTCAACACAACTGATAGACTCAACACTACCCATAGACTCAACACTACCCATAGACTCAAAACTGCCCATAGACTCAACACTGCCCATAGACTCAACACTGCCCATAGACTCAACACTGCCCATAGATTCAACACTGCCCACAGACTCAACACTGTCTATAGATTTGAACACTGCCCGTAGACTCAACACTACCCAGAGACTCAGCACTGCCCATAGATTCAACACTACCCAAAGACTCACACTGCCCATAGACTCACACTACCCGTAGACTCAACCACTACCCATAGACTCAGCACTGCCCATAGATTCAACACTACCCAAAGACTCACACTGCCCATAGACTCACACTGCCCGTAGACTTAACACTACCCATAGACTCACACTGCCCGTAGACTTAACACTACCCATAGACTCAGCACTGCCCACAGATTCAACACTACCCATAGACTCAACACTACCCATAGACACAACACTATCCATAGACTAACACTACCCATAGACTCAGCATTACCCATAGATTCAACACTGCACCTCCGGTGAGCACGGTTTCCTATGTACGGTGCAAAAGAAGTTCAACATACATGCTCACATATGTATATACATGCAGGCGATGCAAACTGTGCACAGACGCACCACGGGCAGGTAGAGGGGAGCACGTACCAACCCCCCATGTGGTGGGGGGAGGGTGCAGGGTGAAGGGGAGGGTGGTGACATGGTGATGGAGGGGGTGGTGGTGATGGGGTTGGGGGAAGACGATGATGGAGCTGACACGGTGATGGGGTTGAGTGACTGGGTGAGTGGGTGAGTGAGTTAGTGGGTGAGTGGGTGAATGAGTGGGAGAGTGGGTTGAGTGAGTGAGTAAGCCGGCCTTTACCCCCCCGTCTCGTTCTGGTCGTGTACCCTGTAGGTTCTGCCTATTTCCTCCTTTCCACACAAGGTGGCGCATTGGAATCCTCGGGTGGAATGCTCCGCTTTGTGTCTGCCTTTTTAGCCTGGGCAACGCCGGGTACTTACCGCTAGTATAAATATAAATTACTAGCGGGAAGTGCCCGGCGTTGACCGGGCAAAAAAGACGCACACACACATCGACTTACACACACACACAGATATGGACCCACACACACAAACACATCGAGCCACACACACAACAACAACCGCCATTCGCCACTAAGTGGCGGTGACGTCTCAACGACGCTTGTGCCAGGCCATGTGCACCTTGAGGCCATGTGAAGTGTCGAACGCCCGCTGGCAGGAGGTCACGGGGCAGACCCAGGTGCCACGGGTCGACTGACTTAGATGACTGAGATGACTGGCTGATGCACCACCTGTGCCCCCTACTGTGCCAACCTGCTGTGCTTTAGTCACCCGGCACTCCGCTCGTTGTCGTGAGCGTCGCTCCTCCAACTGCCCAGTAGTGTCCTTCACGAGCCTCCTTCACAGAGGCCAATCTTGACACCGCTGGTACCAGTCATCGGCACGTCCACCCAGCTCCACGTCCTCCTGTACCACATCACTCCATCTCTTCTCTAGCCCGTGCCGCACCCGTTTAGCCCCCTCGATCCGGCCGAACAAAAGCTGTTTCGGCATGCGGTGGCTGGGCATGCGGGTTACATGACCCGGCCAACGCAGCCTTGCCTGCCGGAGGAGCTCACCGATGGGACCTTGCCCAGATCTTTCAAGGATTTGTGAGCTCCTCACACAATCCAGCCTGGTTAAACCCAGGATAGTCGTAGGCAGGCTAGCCTAAATGTTTCTAACCGGCGAAGATGTTCCATTAGGGGGATCCACGTTTTGCAAGCGTAGAGAAGGGAGGGAATGACTGTGGCCGAGAAGACCTGAAGCTTAGTGCAGAGCGACACACCAGGTAGCTTCCACACAGCGTTACGCAACTGATGAAAAGATATTGCCGCTTGACTGATTCGGAGTGAGACCTCTGCTGTTAAACTGGAGCCGATCATAAGCACACTGCCCAGGTATGGGAAACTCTCCACTTTCTCCACAACTGCCCCATCACCGATTGGGAGTTGTGGGGGGTGGAGTGTCCGATGGTACAAAATACCCAGGCAGGTGCTTAGTTTTGGTGGGGCTGATGGTAAGGCCCCATCTCTTAGTGGCATGCTGCAGTCTCAGCAGCAGCGTCTCCAACTCCTCCTCTGAATGAGCAGCTATTACCAAATCATCGACATACATAACGTGGTTGAGCAATAGCGAGCCATTTCTTGACCGCACCCGGGCATCGATCAGCCTCCCATTATATCTGTATCAAATGGAGATTCCCCCGGTAAAGCTATTGAAGGCTTTATGAACTACGTGGTCAAAATAGATGTTAAATAATGTGGGAGCCAGATGACATCCCTGTCGCACCCCAAGGTGTACAGGGAATGGCTCTGACTCCCGGCCACGTAGTTTTACCCGGGCCCGCTCACCATCATGAAGGTCCTTAATGATCGTGAGCAGAGGGTCAGGGACTCCAAAAGCACGAAGAACAACCCAGAGCCCAGGCCTACTAATGGTATCATAGGCCTTGACCAAGTCAAAAAAGCAGAGATGTAGGACTTGCTGGAATTCCCTACACCTCTGCTGTAGCAGACGGACAGAAAATATGGCATCTGTGCAGGACCGCCCTTTTCTGAAACCGCATTGGGGCTCCGCAATCCTCTCCTCAGCGTGCCTGGCAAGGCGATGTTGAATAATCCTTGCCAGGACCTTTCCCGGCACACTGAGGAGTGAGATGCCCCTGTAGTTGTTACAGTCTGTGCGGTCCCCCTTCTTAAAGAGGGGGACCCCCAGGGCATCCTTCCAATCCTGCGGAACCCGTCCAGTGGTCCAGACTGTTGTTATTATGTGATATAGGGCAGTCTGTGCACAAACGCCACCCTCCCTCAGCATTTCGCTTGGGAGATCATCTCTGCCCGCTGCCTTTCCTGGTCTCAGACTCCGGATCGCATTCAGTACTTCCTCAACAGATGGCACCTCAGCCAGCCACTCACAGGGGATGACTTCTTCCAATATTTGAGGCACCGCAGCCTCAGCAGGGTCATCCCCACTTTGTGCCACGATGTTTTCCTGGCTGAGGGATTTCCCCTCCCCGAGGACCTCACAGAAATGCGCAGCAAATCTGCAAACCTGTTCCTGGGGGTCGGAGATTGGATCACACACATTGACCTATACACACACATATATGGACTTACACACACACATCTTGACTAACAAACACACACATGGACTTACACACACAGACATCGACTTACACACACAGAACTTTTAGAGCAGGTTGGCAGCAATTGGGTAACTTTGGCACAAAACAAAGAACGACATCAGGGTAGTATATTGTGGAGCCAGGGCCTGTTGTTGGTCATTTCCTTTGGTGAAGTAGATGCGTTGACCATTTTCGAGTTGAACTGATAAATGGACGACTGTGGGGGAACGATCATGGATGGGGGAGCCAAGAATGATCGACATGGTCTGATTGCTGCTGATGTATCTTCCTTGGACAAGAAGTGTAACCTCATCCACGCTTTGCCCCTCTTTGTGTAAGGCAAAGACAGGCATGTCAGAGCCGTTGTTGATGTATTTGCAAACATATTTGATGGCTTGCACCGAATTGCAGAATTCCACATTAATGTGGGCCTCGAAGATCTTGCACAGAAGAGGGCACTAGGGAACGATCCACCGGCTTTCAACCTTCATTTGAGAGTTAGTGGCAGGTCTGAGCGTTTTTTGAAATCCACCATGCTCAGTATTTCTGCGACGATATAAAGTATAGCTATGATGGCCTGACTGAGTGTTTTTCAAGAAGTTGCGTGGATACTTCTTGGTACATCTGCGGTCTTGCCTACATAGCGAATTTGGATTGAACTGCCCACATGGGCCATGGACCATTTGCTTGCAGATCACATCAAATAGGGCAGGGTCTTTATGGGGGTCAGGTAGCTCAGAACTGAGAAATGTGTAAATGTCACTTGCATGAATTGTTTCTGTCATCCATAGCAAAATGTGAGCATGAGGAAGAGCACGTTTTTGGCACTCAATGGTTTGCAAGTTACATGTTGTCTTTCCAAAGACACCGCCTTCCTTAGTCCTAATAAGCCTCATGAGTTAATCAACTTTGAGTTTGAAGACCCTTGCAATGGTGTCATGTCTGTCTGTTGCATTTAGGTTTGGATAAACCTCAACCTGGATCTCCTTCCATTTAGGATTGCAAGTGGAGGTGATAAAGAGATTGGGGCCTGCCATATTGCCTGATGTACGTCATTGCATGCTGAGTCTTCTCATGCATGTATCTTGGTCCACCTGTGAAAGATTAAGGCAAAATAACTAATCACCCCACATTCTGAGCGTTCGCGTGTACGTCAGCATTGATAGTGAACTGTGAGATGAGCATACAGTGTTATACACAGGCGTTTTTGATTAAGCTGAATGTAAAGAAGGTGCTAACTCTCAATTCTGGCATACTCATCGACAACATACTTAGTTGAAGAGGTTTGCGCACCGTAATATGTGGTTTCCTCCTTCTCTGTCCATGATCATGAAGGAATAGAAGTCTTTAGAGGAGATCGTTTTGTGAGGATGTCTTTGTCGTGTAGCTTTGATAATTTGAGGAATCTGGACGTGGTACCCATCTTGGACTTTGCACAGTATAATGGGGTATTGTAGGGCATCATAAACTCTGCTTGTCTCAGGAAATTGTTTGATGGTGTTGTCTTGGTATCGAAGCACAATGTCTCATACCGACTTTAATGGTACCTGCTTTCAGTACAGCAGTGCATACTGACTGTGGTTGTACAGTACCTGCTTTCAGTACAGCAGTGCATACTGACTATGGTGGTACCTGCTATCACTACAGCAGTGCATACTGCTGTGGTAGTAGCTGCTATGATTACAGCACTGCATACTGCTGTGGTGGTACCTGCTATGATTACAGCAGTGTATACTGACTGTGGTGGCCCCTGCTATGATTAGAGCAGTGCACACTGACTGTGGCGGTACCTGCTATGATTTTAGCAGTGCACACTGACTGTGGTGGTACCTGCTATGATTACAGCAGTGCATACTGACTGTGGTGGTACCTGCTATGATTACAGCAGTGCACACTGACTGTGGTGGTACCTGCTATGATTACAGCAGTGCATACTGACTGTGGTGGTACCTGCTATGATTACAGCAGTGCATACTGCTGTGATGGTACCTGCTATGATTACAGCAGTGCATTCTGTGGTGGAATATGCTTTGACTACAGCAGTGCATACTGACTGAGGTGGTACCAGCTATCACTACAGTAGTACATGCTGACTCTATAGCAGTATATATGGGCTCTATAGCACAAAGTACTCACCTGACAGAGTGGGCTGGTGAGGCCTAGTCCCGTGCAGAGCCCCCGGGCTCGCCTAGATTGCCAGCCGGCCGAAATGGCACCTTGGCAGGCTGGGGACTGGGCCGCTTACCCCCCCCCCCCCACCACCTTGCCTGTGCTACAATAATACTATGTAAGCGCTATAATATTAATATTTACAGACTCTATAGTAGTAACTGCACGCATCGGGGTGGGGGGAGGGGGGAAGGGGGGAGGACATCACACTGTGAAGAATTAACCTCAGCGTTTTGTGTTTCTATTGCATTTTTAACGCTAAAGAAAATCTCCTCCTCACCCCCACCGAAGGCGGGTAAGTTGGTATGGTCGAGCGGCGAAAGTAAATAAAAAATTAAGAAAAATCGCACTAAATCGCTAATTTTACTAATTAAAAGTTGACGGACGTGAAAAAGAAATAACGCTTACCCACCGAGGGGCTTACGGCGTGATACCTGGCTATTTTTTTTTAATGTAAACCCCATCATTTGAGAGCCAAATCCTTATTCTTGGTTCTTTCGGTAAAGTCACGTTGATGCGAAACAATAAAATATTAAAATATATATAAAACAATACAATTATCACGACGTATCGACTGCAACACAAGCAGTCATCATGACTGTCATCATGACTGCTTGTGTTGCAGTCGAAACGTCGTGAAGATTTTATTGTTTTATATATATTTTATTATTTTATTGTTTCCCTTCAACGTGACTCTACCGAAAGAACCAAGAATATGAATCACTGCAGTCACGAAAGCTTTAAATCAAAAGCCAAATCCTTCACAAGTGTGCGAACACACACAGACAGACAGATAGACAGACAGACAGACGGACAGACACACACACAGACAAAAAAATGCCTTTTATAGGTAAGATGATTTACCATTATTATTAATATCATTGAGTACGAAGACTGCTATGCAGAGCATCGCTGTCGGGATGTAGAGCAGAGCGCGACGTTGCGTTGCGCAAGTTCGACCCCCTCCCCGACCCAACCGATCGATTCGCTGGCGTAGCTTTTTTAAAAATTTTGGCAAAAGTTTAACCGTGTCTCCGGCCGGCACACAATGGCCCAGCATGACATGCGGGATCTTTAACGTGATGGCTGCTACTGATTTAGATGCAGAGCCAACGAGTACAATTGTCACATTCAGGTGGCCAAGCTCAGACAACCGCGGTAGTGTCTCTATGAGTCTATGCATTTCCATGGATCTCGATGAGTCTATGGATTTCTATGGGGTTTATGAGTATCTGTGCGTCTCTATTAGTCTGGATCTCTATGGGTATCTATGAGTCTCTGTGCGTCTCTATTAGTCTGGATCTCTATGGTGTATCTGTGAGTCTCTGTGAGTCTCTATTAGTCTAGATCTCTATGGGTATCTATGAGTCTCTGTGCGTCTCTATTAGTCTGGATCTCTATGGGTATCTATGAGTCTCTGTGTGTCTCTATTAGTCTGGATCTCTATGGGTATCTATGACTCTCTGTGGGTCTCTATTAGTCTGGATCTATATGGGTATCTATGAGTCTCTGTGCGTCTCTATTAGTCTGGATATCTATGGGTATCTATGAGTCTCTGTGCGTCTCTATTAGTCTGGATCTCTATGGGTATCTATGAGTCTCTGTGGGTCTCTATTAGTCTGGATCTCTATGGGTATCTATGAGTCTCTGTGCGTCTCTATTAGTCTGGATCTCTATGAGTATCTATGAGTCTCTGTGCGTCTCTATTAGTCTGGATATCTATGGGTATCTATGAGTCTCTGTGCGTCTCTATTAGTCTGGATCTCTATGGGTATCTATGAGTCTCTGTGCGTCTCTATTAGTCTGGATCTCTATGGGTATCTATGAGTCTCTGTGCGTCTCTATTAGTCTGGATCTCTATGGGTATCTATGAGTCTCTGTGCGTCTCTATTAGTCTGGATCTCTATGGGTATCTATGAGTCTCTGTGCGTCTCTATTAGTCTGGATCTCTATGAATATCTATGAGTCTCTGTGCGTCTCTATTAGTCTGGATCTCTATGGGTATCTATGAGTCTCTGTGCGTCTCTATTAGTCTGGATCTCTATGGGTGTCTATGAGTCTCTGTGGGTCTCTATTAGTCTGGATCTCTATGGGTATCTATGAGTCTCTGTGCGTCTCTATTAGTCTGGATCTCTATGGGTATCTATGAGTCTCTGTGTGTCTCTATTAGTCTGGATCTCTATGGGTATCTATGAGTCTCTGTGTGTCTCTATTAGTCTGGATCTCTATGGGTATCTATGAGTCTCTGTGGGTCTCTATTAGTCTGGATCTCTATGGGTGTCTATGAGTCTATGTGCGTCTCTATTGTTCTGGATCTTTATGGGTATCTATGAGTCTCTGTGAGTCTCTATTAGTCTGGATCTCTATGGGTATCTATGAGTCTCGGTGGGTCTCTATTAGTCTGGATCTCTATGGGTCTCCATGAGTCTCTGTGAGTCTCTATTAGTCTGGATCTCTATGGGTATCTATGAGTCTCTGTGCGTCTCTATTAGTCTGGATCTCTATGGGTATCTGAGTCTCTGTGGGTCTCTATTAGTCTAGATCGTTATGGGTATCTTTGTGTCTCTGTGGGTCTCTATTAGTCTAGAGCGTTATGGGTATCTATGAGTCTCTGTGGGTCTCTATTAGTCTGGATCTCTATGGGTATCTATGAGTCTCCGTGGGTCTCTATTAGTCTGGATCTCTATGGGTATCTATGAGCCTCTTCTTCCTCCGTATTGCTGCTGATGTAGATGCAGAGCCAGCGACTACAATTGTCACATTTAGGTGGTCAAGCCCAGGCAACCGCGCCAGGATCCAGCGGAGTTGTTGCATCGCTGTGATGTCTCCTCCTTCGAATTTGCGAATCGGGGCGTTGTTGCCTCGTTAGACCTTGCACTGAATCTGTTCTGGATGACCACAATCGCCGCACCGCTACCGGAGAGTTTTAACATTTTCCATTCGCGCGTCAAGTTATCATGCGCATCTACCGCTGCCATGGTATGTGCGGTGGGTGATGGTCCACGACGCCAAGTGATGGTGGGTTTATATCCGGGCTGTGGCGATGGTGGGAAAGCTGTTGCTACTGCTGTTGCTGCTGCACGTGGCGCGGCTTGCCTGTGATCCAGCGGTGCTGTGCAGACAGCAGCAGCGAGGTTGTTGGTGGATCACCGCACACCACAGATGCTGATGTGAAACTCCTTTCTACCCGTGGTCCGGGCGTCTCGGAGGGAACCGTACCCCTGGCTCTGCCAGGAGATGGCAACACAGCAAAGTGCGAACTAATCTCCATCTGTTCCAACTCCGCTCCCGTGTGCGTCGAGGAGGAGCCGTACCCAGGCACTTGCCATCCGCTCCACAACTCCATTCTCATGGGATAGAGTGTTTCCCCCTCGCGCGCGTGGGTTTCCTCCAGGCTCTCCAGCTTCCTCCCGCGCGCGTAAGCACTCAACAATCGTCCGATGACACCGCCATATCTAGAGGACCGCAGAGCTTTGGGCAATTGTTGGTAACGGCGACCGCTCACCACCGCGTGGCTGCCGCCGCTGCCACCGCCGACGACGACGACTTCTGTGCTTGCCCCGCACCTCCGAGTAGCGACGGCGGCGCCACGCGGGCCCCTCATCAATTCCCTCTCGCTCGTTCGCTCGCTCGCTCGCAGGGACCCGAATGACGGGGGCAAGGCGGTGCCCACGCACTGGCCGGTCTACGACCCGAGCACGGAGCAGTACCTGGATATCACCAGCAACATCGACTACAGCTCCGTCAAGCGTCACCTGCGCGGTGACTACATGGACTTCTGGATCGACGTCAACTCGAGATACCACGATCTGGGCACCGAGGGCCCGTCTCAACCCGCGACCGAGCCTCGCACATCCACGGAAGCCTGATCCGCGTCCGCGGACACACGCGCGCGGACACGCTCACACGGGACACACACGCGCACGGTACACAAACACACGGGACACACACACACGGTAAGCACACTCACACGGTTACATGCACGCACACGTGGGACACACACACACACGGCAATACACACACACACGGGACACGCACTCACACGGGACACACACAAGGAACACACACTGACATGGTAAGCACACTCACACGGTCACACACACACAGTAGGGACACACACTCACACGGGACACACACAAGGAACACACACTGACATGGTAAGCACACTCACACGGTCACACACACACAGTAGGGACACACACTCACACGGGACACACAATAGGGACACACACACACATGGTCAGCACACTCACACGGTCACACACACACAGTAGGGACACACACTCACACGGGACACACAATAGGGACACACACACACACACATGGTCAGCACACTCACACGGCACACACACACACGGAACACACACTCACACGTGGGACACACACACACGGTGCACACACACACACGGCACACACACACGTGGGACACACACACACTCACACGTGGGACACACACACACGGCATACACACACACGGGACACACACTCATACGGGACACACACAAGGAACACACACACACATGGTACACACACACGCACGGTGCACACACACACACAGTACACACACACACGGTGCACACACACACACACGGTGCACACACACACAGTACACACACACGGTGCACACACACACAGTACACACACACACGGTGCACACACACACACAGTACACACACACACACACAGTACACACACACACACGGTGCACACACACACACACGGTGCACACACACACGGGGGACACCAATACAATAGGAAGAGAACACGATCATGAACGTTGTGTTGAGTCTATGGCGTGTGGTGAGCGTGCACATGAGGCATACAATAAACTTTTGTAAAACCAGCAGTGTGTGTGTTCACGTGTCGGTATGTTCACTTGTGTGTGTGTGTTCACGTGTCGGTATGTTCACTTGTGTGTGTGTGTGTTCACATGTCGGTATGTTCACTTGTGTGTGTGTGTTCACGTTTCGTATGTTCACTTGTGTGTGTGTGTTCACGTGTCGGTATGTTCACTTGTGTGTGTGTGTGTTCACGTGTCGTATGTTCACTTGTGTGTGTGTGTGTTCACGTGTCGGTATGTTCACTTGTGTGTGTGTGTTCACGTGTCGGTATGTTCACGTGTGTGTGTGTTCACGTGTCGGTATGTTCACTTGTGTGTGTGTGTTCACGTGTCGGTATGTTCACTTGTGTGTGTGTGTTCACGTGTCGGTATGTTCACGTGTGTGTGTGTGTTCACATGTCGGTATGTTCACTTGTGTGTGTGTTCACGAGTCGGTATGTTCACGTGTGTGTGTGTTCACGTGTCGTATGTTCACTTGTGTGTGTGTGTTCACGTGTCGGTATGTTCACTTGTGTGTGTGTGTTCACGTGTCGGTATGTTCACGTGTGTGTGTGTTCACGTGTCGGTATGTTCACGTGTGTGTGTGTTCACGAGTCGGTATGTTCACGTGTGTGTGTGTTCACGTGTCGGTATGTTCACGTGTGTGTGTGTTCACGTGTCGGTATGTTCACGTGTGTGTGTGTGTGTTCACAAGTCGGTATGTTCACTTGTGTGAGTGTGAGAATAAAATAATAAAATAAAACAATACAATTCTCACGACGTTTCGGACACAACACAAGTGGCCTTCTTCAGGTGAAAGGGACAAACCTGTCGGGACGACAGAGCTACAGTGTCTGTTCGCGTGTGTGTGTTCACGAGTCGGTATGTTCACTTGTGTGTGTGTGTTCACGTGTCGGTATGTTCACTTGTGTGTGTGTGTTCACGTGTCGTATGTTCACTTTGTGTGTTCACGTGTCGGTATGTTCACTTGTGTGTGTGTTCACGAGTCGGTATGTTCACTTGTGTGTGTGTGTGTGTGTGTTCACGAGTCGGTATGTTCACTTGTGTGTGTGTGTGTGTTCACGTGTCGGTATGTTCACGTGTGTTTGTGTGTGTGTTCACATGTCGGTATGTTCACTTGTGTGTGTGTGTTCACGTGTCGTATGTTCACTTGTGTGTGTGTGTTCACGTGTCGGTATGTTCACTTGTGTGTGTGTGTTCACGTGTCGGTATGTTCACTTGTGTTTGTAGCTCTGTCGTCCCGACAGGTTTGTTCCTTTCACCTGAAGAAGGCCACTTGTGTTGTGAGAATTTTATTGTTTTATTTTATTATTTTATTCTCATTCTACGTGACTTTACCGAAAGAACCAAAGAAGATGAATCCTTGCAGTCACGAAAGCTTTAAATCGAAATTGTGTGAGTGTGTTCACGAGCCGGTATGTTCACTTGTGTGTGTGTGTTCACGTGTGAATGTGTTCACATGTAAGACAATCGATGATCGACCGATGATGGAGACGTGCTCCATTGGGGAGCGGTGGTGTCGTGGTTAGCGCTACGTTGCGCTATGAATCCGGTGACCCGAGTTCAATTCCCGCTCACGGCCAACACCGGTGACGATTATCTGAACCGGTCCAGGGCCTCTCCTAGGTCGACTGGTGCGGTGTGTAAACATCGCCACTGGGGGAGACAAAGGCGGTCGGGCGTGGTGCTGGCCACCCACCCCCTCGTGTGCCGTTCCGGCCGCCATAGGTGCTCGTCAACAACACGCAGGCGCGCATACAAAGACAAAGATCCCCCGTGTAGCCTGTAACAGACTGTTCGGGCAAGTGCTGTTGGCGAGAACCTATGAAGGCCGGCACGGCACACGAGGGGGTGGGTGGCCAACACCACGCCCGGCCGCCTTTGTCTCCCCAGTGGCGATGTTTACACACCGCACCAGGTACTCACATTTGAGGCTGAGTCGACCTAGCAGAGGCCCTGGACCGATTGGGAAAATCGTCACTGGTGGTGGCCGTGAGCGGGAATCGAACCCTGGTCGCCAGGTTCGTAGGGCAGCGCTCGAACCGCTATACTATCACTCCCCACACACACGTACACACACACACATGTGTGTATGTGTGTACGTGTGTGTGTGTTCCTATGATAACAAACCTCGCGTGACCACATCCTTAACGCCTGCACCCATCCATCCTCCCTATCAGTAGCAGCAGAGGAGGAGCAGTGTTAGGGTTGACGCCCTGGTTCAGTCGATTCCACCTCTTCTCGCCCCCCACTAACCCCACCCCCAGTCCTCGCGAACCCACACGGAACCCACCTTGCCGTGTCAACCAATATTCGCAATGTCCAATATATGAGTTAAATCGTTGCACGCCGGCCGCGCCCGATGATTGGTAAACTTCTCGCTCTCGCTCGCCTCTCCCTCCCCCAACCTCCCCGTAGATTCAACACTGCCCATAGACTCAGCACTGCCCATAGACTCAGCACTGCCCATAGACTCAGCACTGACCATAGACTCAATACTGCCCATAGACCCAACATTGACCATAGACTCAGCACTGTCCATAGACTCAACACTACCCATAGACTCAACACTGCCCAAAGACTCAACACTGCCCATAGACTCAACAATGACCATAGACTCAGCACTGTCCATAGACTCAACACTACCCATAGACTCAACACTACCCATAGACTCAACACTACCCATAGACTCAACATTACCCATAGACTCAACACTGCCCATAGACTGAACACTACCCATAGACTCAACGCTGCCCATAGACTCAACGCTGCCCATAGACTCAACACTACCCATAGACTCAACACTGCCCATAGACTCAACACTGACCATAGACTCAACACTGCCCAAAGACTCAACACTGCACATAGACTCAACACTGCCCATAGACTCATCACTGCCCATAGACTCAACACTGCCCATAGACTCAACACTGCCCATAGACTCAACGCTGCCCATAGACTCAACACTGCCCAAAGACTCAACACTGCACATAGACTCAGCACTACCCATAGACTCAACATTACCCATAGACTCAACACTACCCATAGACTCAACACTACCCATAGACTCAACACTGCCCATAGACTCAACACTGCCCATAGACTCAACACTGCCCATAGACTCAACACTGCCCATAGACTCAACACTGCCCATAGACTCAACACTGCCCATAGACTCAACGCTGCCCATAGACTCAACGCTGCCCATAGACTCAACGCTGCCCATAGACTCAACACTGCTCATAGACTCTACACTGCCCATAGACTCAACACTGCCCATAGACTCAACACTGCCCAAAGACTCAACACTGCACATAGACTCAGCACTACCCATAGACTCAACATTACCCATAGACTCAACACTACCCATAGACTCAACACTACCCATAGACTCAACACTGCCCATAGACTCAACACTGCCCATAGACTCAACACTGCCCAAAGACTCAACACTGCACATAGACTCAGCACAACCCATAGACTCAACATTACCCATAGACACAACGCTGCCCATAGACTCAACACTGCCCCTGTATGCTATGCATCCACATCGCCTTTGGTGATAGTGGATGCAGTTGTCACGGAGTCGTGTTGCATTGAAGACGTGGATGCAGCTGATGACGGCGTCGTGTTGCATTGAAGACGTGGATGCAGCTGATGACGGAGGCGCGCCACTGCTGCCGTGTGTCGGCCCCGTGTTGTTCCGCGCCCTGATTGTACTTTGTCCGCTTGGCCGCAGGCTCCGTGTGAACGCGACACGTGCCCCAAACGAAACAAATCAAACAGAAAAAAACCAGAAAGCTCTCCCCTCCCGCGGCCTTGAGCACAGCGCGCGTTCTATTGACCGGGCGCCCCGAAAATCTCACGTCCCGGACCCAGGGCACCTGCTCGCGTGAAGGGGGTCGCGGTATAATGGGTGGTGGTGGTGGTGGAGTGGTGGTGGTGGTGGAGTGGTGGTGGTGGTGGGTGAGAACATGTATCTGGACGTGGTGGTAATGTGCAGAGGTGGGTTAGGGCAGGTGGTGGTGGTGATTGGTGGTGGTGATCGATGATGGTGGTGATTGGCGGTGGTTTGTGATGATGGTGAGTTGTGGGAATTGGCGATGGCGGTGGTGATTTGTTATGATTGATGGTGGTGATCGATGGAGATTGGTGGTAATT